AGACCTTTATCGATTTTGGTAGCCTCTTTTCGGGAACGACCGAGCGGGAAGTCAGAGAGCACCCGTGGTGGGTCCCACTCTAGACGCTGAGAGATGGTAAGACCGTATAGTTCCTACTTCTTTTCTTTCCCTCTCCTGGTTCTTTCTGTCTGTATGTCTTGCTTTTTCACCGCACTAAATAGACGTTATCGTGTCGATGTGCTTCTCTTTACTGAAACAAAGAAAGGTCCGAAGATTAAGTACTTCTGTTGGTGGTTGGAGCTTTCCATTTTCTTTTCTACTCATCTCTTTTCATCGGCGTCTCTGAGGGGGTGGTTGGAGGGCGCCACTGGTAGGTACTACTTCTTTACTTTCCCCCTGTTGTTTCTGTCTATCTGCGTGGGTGGTTGGAGGGCGCCACTGGTAGGTACATTTGTACTACTTTTTTACTTTCCCTTCGTTGTTTCTGTCTGTCTGTGTGTGTGTGGGTGGAGGGAGTGCGCCACTGGTAGGTACATTTGTACTACTTCTTTACTTTCCCCTTGTTGTTTCTGTCTGTTCGTCCAAATGGCCATTATTGTGTCGATGTGCTTCTCATTACTCAAGAAAACAAACAAGATCAGCGTCTACGGTGCAGTGGTAAGACTGTAAGCCGCTGATTGCAGAAGAAGCCAGTTCGATTCCGGTGGATGGAGACTATTTAGATTAATCGAGTATATTCCGTTCTTCTGCTAGGATGCTTTCTCTCGCTCACTCAGTCTGAGTTTGACCTGGAATCGAGACTGGAATCAGCCTGTCTCCTTAAGAGTCTGAATTCTGTCTTTTATTGGAGAGAAAGTACATTATGTAGACTACTTTAATACTTACGAACTTGACGGTCAAATCGAACCCTTAGCTTATAGTTCAGTACGGAAGGCCATTTTGTTTCTCATTTTGTGGGTAAAAAAAATTAAATTGACATTGGTTTTTCTGTTCTGAAGGGGAAGATTAAGCGTGCCCTGATGGTCTGTCTATTTAGGAAAACCTGTGCGTGCATACATTTGATCCCCACAGCTTGAGACTGGGTGTAGAGAGCTAAGGTGCATGTTGACTCATCATCTCGGGAACTCTCCACTGTCTGGTGAGAAAAAAAAACCCCTTCTAGTTGAGACTCGAGATAGAGAGTTAGTTGAACCGGTGCTAAGAAGTGCGCGTGCGATAAGAAACTATTTCTGAACAGTGTGAACTTCTTGGTGTTTTAGACGAGGTGAAAAGGTTTTGTGGGTTGCGGAAAATAGCGCACGGAACAAAGACCGAAGGAAGGAAAAGAAAAGGTGAGGAGAGGGGTGGAAGAGGGG